GGAAATTCCAATCTTACAGCAGAAAAGTGGATAGAGAAAAAAACACAGTGACTGGTGTTTAACAGTCACGCTTTAAAATACAAAGCAATGACTGAAATAATATATGGAAAAAAGGGTGCTAAAATTGTGGACAGGGAGGTACTTGTAAGGAAATAACTTGTGGATATATGAATATTAAGATATATGGGAATAATGAAGCAGAGTCCTTTACTACATTTACAAACACTGTAGTAGATATGCAAACAAAAATTATTTTGTGTGTTTATTCAATAAAATATATAAAGACTACAGAAGCACAAAGTCTTGGAATTGGAATTGATATCAGTACATGCCTTGTTTGGATGGGGTAATGACTTTGATAGCTGCGTACTGAACTAATATCTTTTTCAGTTTAATAGTGGTCAGTGTATCATAGTGAACTGCAGTAGGCCTGCTGTGTATTTTCATCAAGCATTACTGTTTGGAGCCTCTGGGTGTCACTGCAGGACTGTGTCTGCATGTCTCAGCTCCGATTAGTTCCTGACTCTAGTGCAAAGCCTGTGTGTAGTTCAGCTACAGGAACAGATGATGGCAGTTCACATGGCACGGAAACGTCTGAACAGGTTTCACCACTTATATTTTCTCACATATACCTGCATATTCACTGACTGTGAAGTTGAAGGACTGTGAACATCTAGTGGGATTTTGTCCGTAGCCCAGCACAGTTCTCACTACATCAATATAGAATCAGATTTATTCTTTTATTCATTTTACAGCGTTACAATGTTTTTGTGCCTGGGAAGTACATGCAGCTGAAAAAAGCCGGAATGGGCAAGTTACATGAATCTTTTTAAATAATATAAATTCATGTTGACTTTTTATCTAACAAATAAATTTATCTAGCCCAGAATGGACAAACCAAACACTGGCTGCAGGTAGGCCCTTTCGCGTTTTTTCTGTAGTTCATCCTACACACTAAATCATACACACTAGAACTGTTAAAGAAAAAGTTAAAGGAGGAAAAAAGACAAAAACACATTCAAAAGCAGCCAAGGGGTCAAAGACAGACAGACAGACTATTGTAGCTATAAAACATGTGAAAAACAGGACAGTGGAATCAGTTTGGTTTGTTGGTTTGGTACCGTAGAAACATGGTGGTTCAACCTGGCAGCCTCCGTAGATGACCCGCTCCCTCTATAGATAACAGCACACTCTAATGTAACGTAAAAACAATTTTATTTTCAGGTTTTTTTTTTCACTAATGAAAACATTCCTCTGAATATTATTATTATTCCATCCTCCTAAATGTTACACACTGGACCTTTTAACAAACTTTAAATTAGGCCCCTAATAATCAATGGAAGAGGAGCATCATCAACATTTAAAGCTTTACTTTGGCTTTGAAAGGCTCCAGTTATGTTGTGGTTAAAAAATGTCACTTAATTTTATACCTTAACAGTGTTCATATTAACTGCTGGTTTCTGTTCCAATCTGGCATGAATGACATCAGACTCCATCAGGGTTTTAAAAAGTTGAAATTTGATTCGATTCATCCCTACAACCAATAAAATTACT